AAAAAAAAAAAAAAAAAAAAAAAAAAGAACATGAGAATTCAAGAATCTCAGAGGTCAGGCTTCACAGGTACAATCAATAGATTCCAAAAAAAATCAAAACAAAAACCAAAACGAACCCCTACACCATGGTGAGCTACTACAATCTTTTAAAATATTGGGAACAAAGATCTCATCAACTTCCACACAAAGCACAAAAGGTTTTTTAACAAAGGAAATGTCAAAATAGCATCAGAATTCCCAACTGCAGAAGATTATGGATTCTAGAATTCTATACCAAACCTATCTATCAAGCAGAAAAAATAAATACATTGCAGACAAATATTTAAGAAATTTCCTACCTTGTACCTTATCTTAGCTACGAAAGAATGTGTTCTACAAGTTAAGGGATTAATCTAAAAAAGGGGAGGGAATATTCCAAGTTATTATGTTGTACACCTAACACTAATACAGCATTATAGGTCAATTACATCTTGATAAAATGGGGGTGGGGTGTGGATTGAATTTAGGAAAAGAATGAGTAACCTAGGAGAGTGAGAAAGGAATCCCAAGATGACAGTGAAAATGTCAGGCTCAGAAAATAACCAGCCCAGAAAGGATTCACATAGTTCAGAGGGATGAAGATCTTCAGGAAAAAAAGAAAGATGAATATATTTGATGATATGAAACTAAATATTCAAGTACTCACATAATTAAAACAAACATTTCGAAATGTGTAGCAATTATTAATTCCAAGGGGAGGAAATGAAGATACTCAAGAAAGAAAAGGTCAACAACTGAGCCCTCCAATCAAAGCCCTCCAATCAACTACCACAGTAAGCTAAGCATTATCTATTGATTTAACTAAAAAATTGTTATGTAACTAACTATATATTGAGAGAACAGAAAGAAAGGAGAAATAGGGATTTGTATAACTAAATCCTCATCTTTTCTTTTTTTTTTTTAAGATTATTTATTTATTTATTTATTAGACAGAGAGAGAACACAAGCAGGCAGAGCAGCAGGCAGAGGGAAAGGGAGAAGCAGGCTTTCTG